AATGAATTGAAGAGAGTCAAACTAACTAAGGTTATAGGTTAGAAGGCTAACCTTAGTTTTATAACATCATCAGTAATTATAGGCATGATACACTGTGTTTGGTAATAAATAAGTGCAGAACAAGAGTTATTAATGCTGTATGAGTGTGATATGAACCTTATACAGAGTTTTATAGCTTATTGACTCACCAGTGATGTGTTTCGCAAGCTAGGGCTCAACCCGGCTTAGTACTTTGACGACAATTTCTACACTTAGTAAACCCGCAGATCATGGCCTTAGGCCAATAATCCGTTTCAAGGACGTGAGGAAATGCGGAGTGATAAATAAACCGACAACTGGAAGTTAAAACTAATTGTCGTGTGAAACAAACACAACATAACCTACAGTCAACACAACAACAACAAGCTCGAGTGTCTGACTATTTAGCGGCGGCAGGCTAGCTTTTATCGGGTTAGCAAACAGCAGCGACATTCCGGATCAGCTGAGCCCCCTACTTTGCTAGAGAGGGGAGCGAGAGGAATGATCCGAGGAACCCTCAGACGGCAAGTAGAATAATTGGTTCCTCACCAGCTACGATAGCGATAACCTCAAGAGCTCTTAGCGTGCTAAAGCAGAGTCGAAATCGTAAGAGATCATTGGTGAATTAGAAGTTAACTCGTGTGACACTTCAATACAAATTGTAAGTCTTATATTTCAATAGATATAAGGTAAACCGAGTTAATGACTAAATAGGTGTAAAATACTAGTTTTTAAAATCAGTTTTACTAGATTTTACACTTTTACTCCTGTTAAACCAATGGACTTAGGCAAAGTTGAGTTGATTACGAACGATGGTGTGTTAAACCCATAACGTAACGAATACAATATTACGAGGTCAGTGTATTTTGAATAAATTTTAGTAAGCCCAAAACAATTTAATCTCATCATACAAAATTTATTAGTAGTAGTCAGTGACTACTGTGGTTAGTTGTGCGAAATCAGCAAATCCCGATCGGCGTGTCGAAGTAGTGGCCTTAGGCCTGTGTTTTATGATGCTTTATGGTTTTAACGACGGGTTTGCCATAAAGCTTTTAGAGATCAATGTAAACCAGCAGTGGATAATTTGTTTTGGCCTTAGTTACTTGTTTTAATTTTTGTTTTTATGTGCCACGCAGTATACAGGCATGTCATCATATTAAACAGTTTTGAATTAAGTGATTAATTCAGAAATTAGACTAGTGAAATAGTGATGCGAAACACAGGCTAGGAGCATGTGTCCTATAGTACACTCTGCACCACAGCACTGACTTGTGGTGGGGGGAGCCGAGTAGGGCCGGCTCGTTTCTAAGCGCCTAGTGCAGCTTGAGTCGGCATTCCACTTGTTGTAGTTCTATGGGTGGAACGTACCTCAGCCTGTAGCCGTGGTCGACAGGTGAGCTCGAACCCTATGCTACAGTGGCGGGTTGAGTCGGTTAAGTTCAAGGTAGGCTACCGCGACATCACAAGTCTGTGTGCATAACCAGACAGACACCCAGGATGGTGGCGGAGACCGACGGGGCCGAGGACTACCGTCTGTAGTCTCGATCGGGGCCATGATGGATGCCCAGCCAGCAGTGAAGCCATAGTAGCTGCGACGTTAGGTGGGCGATCCGAACGCCGACTACAGCGACGTTAGGTGGGCGATCCGAACGCCGACTACAGCGGCAGGCGGAGCTCCCAGGTACCGCTACGACGCTGGGATCTGTGTGCAGAACCAGAGAGACACCCAGGACGGTGGCGGAGACCGACGGGGCCAAGGACTACCAGCTGTAGTCTCGATTGGGACCACGATGGACGCCCAGCCTACAGTGAAGGTGTAGTAGCTGCGACGTTAGGTGGGTGATCCGAACCCCGACTACAGCGGCAGGCGGAGCTCCCCAAGTACCGCTACGACGCTGGGATCTGTGTGTTGAACCAGATTCTCCTGGGGCTACATGTGGACATGTGGACATGTAGACAATTTCGGGGATGACGACTAACAACAATGGAAGGTCATCACGTCTGACTGCGGTGGAAGGGGCAGTGACAGGGGTCCGTGCGATGAGCCAGATTTCCATACCATAGTGGCCAAGAAACGAAAAGGGACTCAATTGTTACAAGCCCAACGTAGTACGTCACATCTATGGCGCCCGAACAAACGACGGCAACGAAAGGTCTGCAGCGAGCAGGATACCTATACGACGGCAGAGACAGGGGTCCGTGCGGTGAGCCGGATTCCCATACGACGACGACAATGACAGGGGTCCGTGCGATGAGCGGGATTCCCATACGATAATATTGACAAGTGTCCAAGAAACCAACGGGACAAAAACGACGGCCACAAAAGGTATTCCTGCAACGAGCAGGATACCTATATGACGGAAGAGACAGGGGTCCGTGCGATGATCCGGATTCCCATACGAAGGCGACGATCAGTACGAGCAACGAACAGGGCCCCACTTTTAAAAGCCCCACGTTGCACGTCACATTTATGGCCATCATGGTATTTTAGAATTATGAGACGACGACAATGACAGGGGGTCTGTGCGATGAGCCGGATTCCCAGATGACAGCACCGACAGGAATCTGTGAGAAACCAGATGCCCAGTCGACAGCGGCGCCGGATTGGAAGTATGACCCGAGTCTGCAGTAGCATTGACGGTAGTCACAACAGACCCAGCCTGCAACGACGGCCAGGTGAGGCCGGATGAGCCCCAGCCTACTACGACGACTGGGAGGGGGGGGACGGAACAAGCCTCAGCCTGCGGCTGTGATGACAGGAGAGCGACCGTGGACCCCAGGCTACAACAGGGTGTCTACTACATTCTGGATAAAAAATTCATGGACAATTCCCGTACATTTAAGGACACTTTGCCGTAACCTTTGTCGGTGTCATTAGGCCTACCGAATAATTTTCCTGATTTGTCAAACTGTATTAATCTTGTTATTCACTGTAGTTGTACCAGAGAGAAAAGTAAATAATAATAGATAAGAGTTAAAAATTACAAAATAGAAATTTATTGAAAGTAAACAAACATAGGCCTACCTATACTTTAGGTAGGCCTAAAGCTTTTATAGTGTAACAGAGAAACGCAATCATTGTCTCCTGCGATAGCGACAAATATCTCCATCCGTCACGTAAACTTCATAACATAGCTTATCCGATCCAGGCGGATTAATTTGGCATGATTCGCCCTGGCACAACGTTAGTTTCTCGACTACTTTTGAAAAAAAAAATCTTGAATGCATATTGTTACTCAATTCTTAGTACAAAATCAAGGTATGGTAAGCGGCTATTAATAAGCAATAAGCACAGAGTAAGATTATTGTATTTTCATTTGTAAAGTTAATATCGACACATAGCAATCATTAGTTGTTTATCTTAGGCTCAATTACATTTTCTTAATATATTTTACAACTCTTTCAAGAATCAAAATACCCAGGCCTAAGCATAATTATTTAGGAGGGCCTATATAAACTGAGTAACAAACAATGAGGTTATAATAGCAGCAAAGTTACTATCATTCTAATTCATAAGATTTTGATTGCTTAAAGCATACAACTCAATAAATAAATATATGGGAAACAAAAAACATTGAAACCTGAATAGCCAACAATATAAGACAAAGATACAGAAAATGCAATGACATAATTTGAAACCAAGCAGGCCTACATAGTGATAAAACATTAATGCAAACAACAATGCTTGTGGTTTTGTCAATTGAAAGATAAAATGTCCATAAAAAAGGGGTTAACTTACAAAATGAGACTGTAGATTATTTACATGTTTAATATGAAACCATAAACAGTTTTATGGCAGTAGGCACTGGCCGCGGTAAATTGAATCTTCAAGCCGAAAGTACAAGTAAGAAGTGAAATTTAACAGCCATTATAAAGCTATTATTTTCACGATAAAATAGGTTTGGGATCTTATAATAATTACCCTAGTAATAAAAAAAGAAGTTGTAAAGGAATAAAAGTGTGATATAACTTTTATGAGCTAGCTGCTGAGTCAACAGTTCTTGGAAGTACTTGACTTGACACTTGATTGTCCTGATAAAATATTAATGGGTTTGAGATTGTTAATGGGATTTTTATTGCATAATTACTCTAGTAATAAATTATGAAAATGTAAACAAACATCTGATAAACCTTTTATGTGCAACCAACTAGCGATCAATAAAATTATGGCCCATTAAAAATTTAAGGACATTGTCTGGCATTTAAGGACAATTCCCGTACATTTCATGGCCAGTAAAAATTTAAGTACAATTCCCGGTTTTCCCGGATTTCCCGGTTGGTAGACACCCTGTACAACGGCAGAAGGAGTTAGCCCATACTGGGTGTGTAGAACCCAAGCGCCTGGCTAGATGTCGTGTGCTGAACACAAAGACGATTTCGGGGGTGGCGTCACCCCCACAGCCTCGCTGAACAACCCCAGAGAGCCGTGTAAGCCAGATGTTTTTGGAAATGAGCAATAAACACTCCCCTCTACACCCCCCGCCCTAGCGCAGCCGCGCACCCAGACTAGCTGCGACTACTGTACATATGAATTTGAACGGATGGTGTTTTTGGCCTCTAGGGACCTCAAAACGAAAAAGTAAATCAGTCCCGGGTCCAGGTCTTACCATGAGTACTACGGTAATAAAGTCATGTAAATTGAAAATTCTTTATATTACCTACAGTATTATGCTTAAGAAACACTTTTACCTCCCCCATCGCATCAAACCTAAGTAGGTAACTTGGTATTTAAATTTAATATTAATTTTAGTGGAAAATTATATGACTTGTTTGTGGGAATATTTTAGTAGGTAATAATTCAATCAGAATAATGGGAATTTCACTTGGTATGCAGGTTTGCTGTGGTGGGGATGTTTCTGTAATGATGTTCCAAGTTAGTTAGTAATGCCAGGCACTGATTCTGATGCCTTTAGCATATTGCCTGAGTGATTGTATGTGTTTTGGTAAAATCGCTTATAACTTAAACATCGAAGCCTACTTACACTTTCAATGAGAGTTGGTTTCAGCCTTAGGAAAACTTTAATAGCATCTTCAGAGGGATTAATGGAATCCTCTTCAATGTAGTGGTCCAACAGATTCTTCTTGGTATCCATATTTCTAGGTCTTAAAAAACCAAAACGGTATACTGGTTTGTTGTAGTAAATTGGATCAGCTACAGTAAATGACATATTCCCTGAAAACAAAACTTCAATTGATTTTAGTTGTTAATAGCACCATCTGCTAGAGTTAATACATTACTTAACTCTTGCAGATGGTGCTATTAAGAGCTTGGAGTGTAATTGGTTTTAAGATACATGTAGGCCTATCTTAAAACCAATTACACTCCAAGCTGCTGTGATGTAGAATAGATATAGCAAAGTACTATTTGTAGTATTTACCACTTCAGAGTTAGGTAAATCCAGTCAACTATACTACAGTAATAGCCTGAACCTTTGAGTCTATACATTGTGTGAGCTCGGAGCTGCACAGGTAGCTGGCTGGTGGCTTGGTCAGTGAGTCATACTTCAGGCTCTACTGCGTAGGCCTATCTCTCTGTTTTTCAAACTTATTTGATTGAAAAACAAAATAGAATGTGATTGCACGAATCATATACCTAGGCCTATTCAAATCTCCTGTCATATCATTCAAGACCTGTATAATAAATAGGGTGTAATTCAAGACTTAAAAATGTGAAAATGAAAAATATTTGCCGGTAACAACAAAAGAAGAGTTTATCAACGAGATCATAGCAACTAATATCAATAGTAAGTTATTTTTATATTTATTTTTTTGACGAATTCAAGTCGTACCATCTAAGAAACTAAATATCAAAGTTTAAACGATTCAATGTAAAATGGAATTGTTCCTGGAATAGTCTAGCCGTTTGAACAAGAAGCTGGGAGAGGATGAGGAGAGGATTCATAAAGTAAGTAAATGGGGAGTGTTGCTGAAGGTCTAAGTCCTGGAAGGTCTAATTAGACCTTTGACACACATTTTGCAGTTTGTACTTGTTGCTGAGGGTCTAATCTGGCAGTATGTCGAAGGTCTAAGTCCCGGAAGGTCTAAGAGTAGGCCTACAGTCAATGCAAAAAACTCATCCACTGATACTGTTTTAGACCTTGCGGGATTAGACCTTGGGCGCACAATGTATATTTTCAAAATAAATGTTTATAAAATGAGAGTTGCTGAAGGTCTAATTTCCGGAAGGTCTAAGATTCGAATCCCGGAAGGTCTAAGATTCGATTCCCGGAAGGTCTAAGATTCGAGTCCCGGAAGGTCTAAGATGCGGGCAGGCATTGCGTCGCCAGAGATGAAGGCTATACAGACAGGCAATAACGCAACAACTTGTAGAGTTGCAATATTCTTAGTGATAGTTTTAATAACTCTCACGTCTATTTTTTTGCTAGCTCGTTATTACAAGTACGATGGAGATATAAAAAAATCTTCATTTATATTATATCATTAACTATTGGATACTTTAATTTTTGTTACTGGCATAGTTGCTGGGCCATAACAGTTGCTATAGCTCAGAATAAATCATTACATTAGTTTAAATTGGTAAAAAAAACCATCGTGCAATCGGCAGAAATAAGTTAAATCATTTCGGCAGAAATAAGTTAATGTTGGTGTTAAAATAACATTGTTAGTTTCCTTGGTGTTCAGGATTCTGTTTTGTTTATTTCAGCTTAACTTAGCCAATAAATAGTTTCATCCATTGACTTTATACCACATATATAGTCAACTAATATTATAAATCTAAAAGTTTGAGAATTTTTGCGTGCGTGCGTATAAGGCCGGTTCCGAGGCGATTGGTGTGATTTTCCACCGTGGGTCCGAGGTCCCCGCTGGTTTCGAGGTCCTGGTGCGGGACCTCGGATTCAAATACAACCGAAAACGTGTTCGATGCCAGAGAATAATTTTAATATCAATATTAAGTGATTTTGAGTGAGACCTTGGAACCTTAATGGAAGGTTTAAAACTTCTTCACGGAATTTCCGATAGGAACGTAGCGATAGTTTTTACTTGTACTCAGTGTGACATGTGACATAAAATAACATTTTCCGCGAAAACCGATGTCCGTGTTCGTTTCCCTCACATATAATGTATACACTATACACCCTCTGATACACCCTTCAACTGGAAACAGAGGCTCCCCTTTAACCCCCACCTCCACCACTCTCCAAGATGACATCGTATTTCAGATATCATATCACTAACGGCAGTCGGAGTCGGCAGTCTGAATGGAATGAGAACAGTTGCTATTCAACACCTCACGAGAACGTTGTTTTGTTTCCAAGCTGTGCTCGCTTGTTTCCTAGACGAATAACAGTAGTAAAATTAAAGAACAAGTATCTTGGTTCTATTATACCTCATAACCGTAATTATTAGTACTCACGTGGGCCTATGAATGTTTATGCATTTTTGGAACGTACTACACATTAACATAACATGTAAACATGAGTTGTTTATTAGATAAACAGTTTTATTCATACCATTGTTACTTAAGCAAATTATTCCGATACCCAAATATCAAAAAATAATTACAGTATTAAATAACACTAGTGGCTTGTAGGGACATAAGTCCCTAAAAAGCTCCAATGTAAAACAATTATTATGTTTAAATAACCTAAGAATCAAATTTTCTTCAGATATCTCAGTACATCACTTTTTTACAGTTTATTGTTTCTTTTCTTTATGATAAAAATAATGATAATAAAAAGGCTTCCCTGATTGAAATATTGGAACTTTGTAGATACTCGATTACCTGAGCTAGTAGGGGGGGGGGGGGGGGTGGGGAGGTAATGAAAAATATGGTTAATCCCCAGGACCGATTTACCGAATAGGCACGGTAGGCACGTGCCTAGGGCGCGAGGCAATTGGCTTTTTTGGGGGGGCGCCAAAAATTTGGAAATTAAAAAGAAATTCGAGGTAGTATTTACATGCTATCGCGGTAAACTTCTGATAACCCGTACTTCTGATGTAGGCATCGTAATCGTCTCCCGCGTTTTGCAGTCAGGTCGTTTGGACATAAAATTATCGTCTTCCATGATCGAGGCAATATATGAACATATCCCGCGGTCGTGAGGAGATTATCATCGTCTACCGCAAATGAGGCAAAATTCGGATATTTTCCCACGGTCGTGAGGACATTATCCTCGTCTTGCGCGATCGCGTTCAAATTCTGACCACCCTTCGCGGCCGTGAAGACATCATATTGTCCCCCGCGGTCGTGTGGACATAGTAATCGACTCCCACGATTGTGGCAAAATGTTAATCATCTCCCTCGGTCTTGTGGAGATCACATCCTCTTACGCAAATTAGGCAACATTTTGACCTTTTCCCGCGATTGTGTGGCCATTATCATCGTCTTGCGCAATTGCGATAAAATTCTGATCACCCCTCGCGGTCGTGAAGACATCATTATATCGTCCCCGTAGGTCGTTTGGACATAGTAATCGCCTCCCACGATTGTGGCAAAATGGTAATAATCTCCCGCGGACATATGGAGTTAATCGATTTTGGCGAATGAGGCAAAATTCTGATCTTTTCCTGCGGTCATTTGGACATTATCATCGTCTTGAGCGATGGAAGCATTATTGTGATCATCCCTCGTGGCCGTGTAGAAGTCATTATTGTATTCCGCGGTTCTGTAGACATCGTAATCGTTTCCCACGATTGCAGTAAAATGTTAATAATGTCCTCCCGTCGTGTGGAGATCATCATCGTCTTCTACGATCGCGGCAAAATTCTTGCTGTTTCCCGCGGTTGTGTGGACATTATAATCGTCTTCCGTGACCACGGCAATATTCTGATCATCCCTCGTGGCCATAGTTATTGTATCTCCCGCGGTCCTGTAGATATCATACGTATCCCTCAGTCATGAATCCATGATAATCTTCTCCCGCGATTGCGGCAAAATTTTAATCATGTCCTGCAGTTTTGTGGATACCATCATCGTCTTCTGCGATCGCGGAAAATTCTGATCATCCCTCGCGGCCGTATGTAGACATATTATAGTCTCCCGCGGTCACGGAAACGTCACTGTTGTCATGCGCGGTCACGGAAACGTCACTGTTGTCATGCGCGATCACGGTAAATTGAAATGTTGAAATGCTGTTGGCGGGAATCATCTATTGACAATATTCCCCCCCCCCCATTGCCCCCAACTTAATTTTTTTAAATAGCAAGGTACCCCTTGTGACATATCAAATAAAAGAGCATTAAAAAAGAAAATGATTGATGAAAAAAAATTTAAAATCGGTTCATAAATTTGTGAGATATTCGGGTCCTCCCCCACCGGAACTTAATTTTTTTTTAAAGCAAGGTACCCTTTAAAGGGGCTCTAATATTACACCTAGGCCTATATGCCTAGGGCGCTGACAGGGTCAAAAACGGGCCTGTTAATCCCATATAGTATATAAACAGATGACAAACCAAACAAAATTAAAAACGCTGTAAATAGCCATTAACGTCATGTTTTGCATTTTTATAAACGAAATGCAATATAGCACAATCATTATTATTGTGCAATTATGACATTTCAAATTATTTATCTTGGTTCAGTTGTACAACGTTTAAAATTATAGCTAACACTCAACTAATAACTAGCCAAATACTGCATTGCTATAAATAACGTAAATATTAAACCTTAGAAAAATTTTGTGTTATAAGCTACTGCTCATGATAGACGGATAGGCTATCGGTAGGTGCTGTATCACAATATAGGAATTGATAGATAAGTAATAAAAAAGTGTAAAATTAAATTTAGAGATAGTAAAAATACTCTTAAAAAAAGAATGTAAAGAGAACAATCTTGTTACCTATTCTATTTCTTTATTTAAAAAAAGAATGTAACGAGCACAATCTTGTTATTCTTTTTCTTTGTTCTTCTGTAATTTATTAGGTTTCTCTTCAATTCATACACAAATTCAACAAGTCGCCATTATTTAAGCCTACTCGTTGCCCAATCAGAGCCTTGATTCCCCAGCTGTTGTAACATAGCGCACAGCAGACAGACTGAGCAGACGATTGTTGGCGCAAGCGTTGTTTCCATTTCATTTTCATCAAAGGAGCTGTGATGTTTCAAAAGGGAGGGATAGGGGGTCGTTAAATCAAGAGAAAGACGCTAACAATTCGTTAAGCAGAGATTACGAACGCTATATTCTGACAATAATAAATTCCTTAAATTGAGGTGACTTATAAAACTCTAATTTTATTTATATAGAAAGATAAGTTTTTCAGTCCTGTACAACACTGATTCACAGTCTTTCCCCGGTAATCAAAATTCAAACAACTTGATACACACAGAATCTCCGGTTCCCGACCTGGATGATGGCTAGTTATTTAATTTAATTTACAGTAGTTACATATTACCCGTGATAAATCAAACCCGTTATGTGAGCCAAAATCACACGGTTATTAATCTCACTTGGTTTTGGATTTGCTTACAAACTGAAAAAAGTATAAAACTCCTTTTAGTTTTACAAATAATGCTGGGCGGGGGAAAAATCTTTCTCATTTGTTGTGTACCTCATTTATGGGGGGGGGGGGGCTGATGCTGTTGCTCAATTGGGGGGGGGGGGGTTGCGTCATGAGTCTAGGGGGGGATGGGCACCCCTGCAATAAATATATTGTTCTTTCGACATTAAAAAATTATAGGCCTAAATTAAGCATGTCCATTTCTGATTTATCTTTTACAATAAATACAGTAGGCCTATTACTTACATAAGCTATAACTAAAAGGCTCGTGCCTGGGAGGTAGCCAGGTAGGGGGGGATGACAACGAAACAGCGGCTCAGTGCCCTGACTACGTTCATCTTGCCTATTGTTCTCATCAAGAACGATGCCAGAGAAGTGACTGGGCCGCAAAATTTGTGCATTTAGAATCTTGATATTACACGAATAATAAATGAAGATGAGGTAGAACATAGTAGGCTATTCTAAGCAATGTAGCGAAGTGTGAGAAATGTGGTCAGGAATGTTTGCTCAATTGCGAATTGTTATTTTTCCGGTGCAACCGTGTGAGCATTCATCTGAAGAAAAAGATTTGTAAGCCTACTTAGTTAGTCTACGAGGTATTTATTACGTGTATACCTTCACGTAAATCTTTAATCTTTATTTATTTATTTATTTATTTCCAACGGATTTCACCAATTTACAATAAGAATTACAATATAGTGAGATACTCATCATGACTAAATACTAAAACTAAGTACAACAATGCAAAACTGATGAACAATAGGCCTACAATAGGGATGCATGCAAGCTCTAAGACAGTGAAAAAAAACTACTTATACCTAGGAGTAACAAGACATAAATTATACAAGACATACGGTAATTGAATAAATGGTAAAAGTTTAAGTCTAAGAAACATGTACATAACAGAGACAAGTGAGACTAACCTAGGAAATTAACAATAAATATAAATGATATAAATAATGTGATAAATAATACTGTGGTAACAAGACAAAACAAAAAGAAAACAGTAGGCCTACATGTGATGGACGTATGATAGAGCTACAAGGAACTAAGATAATAAATAATACAGTGAAATGGGATACCTAATAATACATAGACATTTAATACTGATATAAGGTGTAATTTGCAAGAACTTTGTGCTTGAAGGATGCAATCGACTCATTAAAGAAGTCTAGATGAGATGCAGCATCACTTCCAATCCTCAGGACACGTGATAGTCCAACATGGTAAGTGTAGTAGGTGGAGTGGTATTTTCTCCTGAAGATAGTTCTAGATCTGGTTCCTCTGGGCGTGACCAAATCAATGCTGCTAAGCAGCTCGGGACAGTCGAGAAAACCGTTCACAATCTTGTGCAGGGCAACGAGGTCGAAGTGATGACGTCTTTGGTTGAGGGTAAGTAAACCGAAGCGTTTTCCCAAATCAATTATCTTGATATCTTATTCTAAAGTTTTACTTACCTCCTGAATCCTATGCATCATCATTTTTAACGCAAATGAATATTTCTAGCTGATCAAATAGTAGGTACCCATTTTGGAAATCTGTCGAAAAGTGTGTTCCTCGATATACTCTGCTGTGGTGTAGTAGGGCCTATTGATTAAGTATTGTTTAAGCTTGTATATAAATGTGTTGTGTTTGTCAGTGGCTTTTATAGTCCGGCAGTAAATTATAGAAATATGAGCCAGTGTATAGTGGGGTGTTGCTGAATTTTGTGAGTGTGTGTTGTGGAAGATCGATGTTTGCCCTATTTCGTGTGTTGTAGTAGCCTAGTTGTGTTTATCTTGTCTGAGACTGGGCGAGGAATTTATGGCCAGGATGATGGTTTCCAGAATATGAAGTGAAATAACGGTGAGGATTTTATTTTGGACAAAGAAGGGTTTGCAGTGTTCCTGATAATCCAGCCGCAGTATTGTTCTGATGGTTTCCTTTTGAAGGATAAGGACTTTGTCAATCTGGTTAATAGGTGCTGATCCCCACGCCGCATGAGATAGGATAAGAGATGGTAAATTAAAACAGGTTGTCATAAATCTACAAGTTACAGCTAGAAACTAATTTCTAACTTCCATAAGTTAATAGGCCTAAAACAATAACGCCAAGGCTAGGAATAGATTGAAATTATAACTGTTAAAAATTACATACCAAATAAGTAGGTTTAAGTCAGTTAATTTCATTCTTCGTAACAAATGTGTCCTCAATTATTATACAATTTCATTTCAGACATTAGCTTTGTACGCAAAATGCAAAATCGAGCATGAAACTTTAGAACACAGAACAGGTTCTACAATCGACACTTACACCAAAACCAACGTCCATTTCAATTCAAAATTAAACAAATTTTTTTTTGTGTTGTGGAGTTTGGAGGTGGAGGGAGAGTGGAGATCATAAGAAAACTAACTCAGAGCGGCAACATTACGAAAAGAATTTCACCTTAACAGTTGGATGTTGAATATAAACCATTAAGAGGCGGTCGGATAGAGCCCCGTATCCCATATTTTGCAGGCGTCACGAGCAACAACACAGTCCTCCCAAAACAGACTTTTGTAATAGTACCACCCTTGGCCACCAGTTTCGTGGCTGTCGCATAACGGGATCTGAGATGGTTGACAACCCTGTGTTACCTAGAAACTTGAAAGCATCAACTCGACTACCCTCAGCCTGTGTCCTAGCCCTTGTCTATTGTCCCACCGCATGTTTCACTTTCACTGGTTTGCTACCTTCGCTCACCCACCCTTTGCGTCTCAGCGATTACGTGCCGGAGCAGGTCTCAGTTCGTCACCGCACAATATGCTCATTTTCCACACATCTTTTACTACATCAACCTCACTACTGCACACTTTATTCAGGTTGAAATTTTCATTTACAAAGGTGCTCTTGTCTTTTCCACGAAACACTGAGAATTAAGGACATTAATGCGTTATCAACAGACATACTCACAAAAATACAGAATTGAATTAGGGGATATTTATTTAAAAGTTGTTATAGTGTCATCAAGTTTTATGATAATCGTATTTAGGCCTAATCCTAATCAAACTGTAAAATTGGTGTACATCCGTTGGCAAATATATAAATAAGTAAATAAATACACAGTCCACAAAACATTGATACGTTGACAACGTAACGCTTTAAAAATTCATTATGGTTTGTCCAAAAAATCTTTCACTTGATGTGGTATCTTGGTATCAGTATCGAAGTAAAATTAAAATTCATGATGTAGCCCCTGAACTGTTTAATTAGACTAATATGAGGTACGCACCTTTACGTACGTCAACAGTTCAATTGTAGTAAGTAGAACTCACAACATGTTTCACCTATTCAAACAGTATCGAAGTTATTAATCTACCTTGGTTTTGGATTTTTTTTTCGAAAATCAAAGTTATTTCCCATTAATAGCATTATTTGTAAGCAGCTTTTAATGTTAACATATTAATGACAGTTTGAAGAAAAAACCCTTATCCAAACAAAGGGTTCTTATTTGAAAGATTACGTAATCTCTAAACGATGATCGGTATATTCCCAGCATTGAGCACTATACAACACTGATTCACGGCCTTTTCCCCGGTTATCAAAACTCAAGAACAATCGTTGTACTTGCGATTAATTAAACCGGCTAAGTAAGGCACAACGTTTTTAATCCCACTTGGTTTGGATGTGCTTACAAAACTTGATCGGAAATGGTTGCGGTATTTGTAAACAGTATTTAATGTAAACATATCATATGTGACAGCTAGAAGTGAGAACTAATCCAAATAGCTGATCGTTATTTCATAAAATTTAATAGTAAACATTGGAAGAAAATTTGACAAAAATCGAACAAAATTGGGTTTTTGATGGTTTGTTATTTTGTTTTCAAAGAAGCGGGGCCATGTTTTTATAGCCAAAGAAACTCACTAATCCAGTAAATACAGAAAATGATTTGAACCTTGATCGGTATTCTAGTTTTCTAGGAGTAGGCCGCGTAAAATGACATTTTGGCGTCACTGACAGAATGAAAGAATGGACAGACAGACAGAAATTGAGATAAGACTCGTTTCGGCTTTCTTAGGCTATGAAACCTAATGTAACCAGAAACTGCATGATTCTAAGCAATGTAGGCCTACAGACAAAACTGTATTTTATTTATATAGATATATGGAACGATTTAAATAAAAAAAATATAAAAAATAAAAACAGTAGGTCCTATGTGTCGTATTTTTACGTTTCAAAGCCATTTGAAGTTGCAATCTTGCTCTTGATGTTTTTTTCTAGATTTTGCCTTATCCTGTGCCTCTAATATATAAAAAGGATTTCGGATGGGCACTTGGGGTTTTATCTTAGCTCGAATATTATAGACCTAAAACGGGACATCGCAATTCCAAGATAATCCGTGAGTCAGAAGCCGGCTTGGCTACGACGCAGTGCTGGTCCGGAGGGTGGATTTGGTTCCTGGAAAACCTTAATCGTATATACCACGTATGTCAGAAAATGCTTTTGTTCCACTGGACCTTGTTTTCTTACTGACAAATAGTTTGTATCAAATCGTGTAAATTGCAGCAGCTATCTTTATACAGCTAAGTCCTTAATCAACGTACTAAGTATGACCAAAAGAGACGTTTATTCTAACGGAACTTGTTTTATATTGATGAATGGTTTGTATCAAACCGGGTGTTGTAAAACTACTTTTATCTCTGATGACAGTAATATTTTAATACATACCTACGGTAAATACACAGTCCGAAAATATTAGATTCTTAGATTCCTGTGAATTCAATATCATCATTTCCTTGGCATTATAATACATCAGGGATGTAACCACATAACGTTATTTATTTATTTAAACAGATCTGTGGCCAGTTTAAATGCATTTTATTTGGCGCGGTTTGAAAACGTGCTCTGTAGCAATGAAGTCTGTAGTCCACAATCGACTGTGCTGCCATCGGCCGGGACATCGTCGAACTAGTACTCAGTCGGCAAGCAAGGCTTTTTTGCAAGCGTTTACAAAAAAATACAAAACTTAATGTTAACCATCGAAAAATAAATATCTGTCACACTCAATACACTAATGAATATATGCTCTTCAATATGGCGTTTGAACCAGAATTATTCATAGTGCCAGTCATTTTATATTTTAGCAGAAAGTATTGCAATTCCTTATGGGAAATGTAAGAAATGATTTATTTTATATCCGGCTTATAATTAAACATTATGATTTTTATATTGTACAGTCTTAATCCTACATACATTTACAATGTTTTGAGTGTGGGAAATATTTTTTGGAACACGGATAGACCAGAAAACGAGGAATTATTATATGCGCTCCATGTTAAAGTGACGGCCAGTGTCGGCAGCCGAGAATCTCTGTCCGACCGCCTCTTAAACAGTACTGTTGGTTATAAAAAATAAAATTCCTCAAAATCCCTATAAAAACTAGGTAACGAAAGGAATCAGGATTTCCAGGGCCAGGAATAGGGAATTATTCATACCGGTAGTTTACGAGAGTATAATAGCCATTAGTGAGATAATTGGAGATTCAATATAATTGGAAGTTGAAAGGGGCTGCAGGTTCGATCCCAGGCCACGGCCTGTAGTTAAAGGCGGCCGTGGCTCAGTGGCCAGACCGCTGTAGACGCTTGTGGTGTTTTGTTTGTTCTTTATTTGTTTTTTTGTTGACTTGTTGTAGTTGTGGTGCTGGTGACTGACTGGTGGCCGTTGTGGGTGAGAATAGTGCGCCTGAATTAATTAACATTACAATAACCTCTACACTATTTATATGACAAATTTGTAGTTACCCGTTTAGTTTCTTAGTCACATTTTCATTTTGTTATTGCAATTTATTTGCAATGTCGGTACGAGTACAGCTACAGCTTACAGCTGTTTTAGCTTAGCAACTGTTTCACTGTTTGACTATAAACAGCTTTATAGTTTTAAATTTCTGATGGATAAGTTGGATTGGAAATTAGAAATATCGACTTCAAATTCAGTTTAGTCAGATAAGATTTAATTTAATATCAGTAGGTAATTTCAATTGCACTGCCCACTGATCATCTGACGAGGAGCGGAGATTACTTTCTGATTAAGAGATTAATTGAATTGTAAATGTAATATTTAATTGTACTGTACTGGGGCCTGTTACATAATAAACTACAAGTTAAGTTCACTTACAAGCTCTAACTTTAGATTTGATTTGAATTGGGTGATCAGCTGATTTACTAATAATATTAGTAGTTTTGTAGTTTAAGGTATAATGAAACAGGCTCCTGTCAGTCCTGTGTTTCAGTTTACACAAAATCAATCAGCCAACGAGATAAATTGAGAGTGGTTTCAGCCAGCAGCTCTAGCTCAGCTAAGCACTAGCGGCTAGTCCCTGTCCACCAAATCTGTTCGGGAGCGAAACTTCTACCCTCCCTCCAGGTGAATTTTTATTCCAGGATTAGTTTTCCCAACAGTGTCATTTGGAGGCTTCTGATTGACTATAATGTTTACTAATTGAAAACTTAATCTTGTTCATAAAATAAAATTATAAATGCCTCAAATTCAATTTTATATTTTTTATTATAAAATTAAACTGTCAGAACCTAACCAAACCAACCAAACTTGCTGATAATGAAAAAAATCCGAGACTAAAAAATACGGCCACGGGTGAGCTTCGAACCCGGCTCAGGTTCATCAGCCCGGCACTCTATCCACTACACTACCAAGGCCGTTGGCATCAAGCCGGGTCGTTGCCGTAATGGTGTTCCCTCAGTCAATCAGAAGCCCCCAAATAAGAGCTGGGCTGGTGGGAGGGTAGAAGTTTCGCTCCCAAACAGATTTGGTGGGCAGGGACTAGCCGCTAGTCAGCTTCAGCTACGCTACCCCGCTATTTTTTTATAGCAGGGTACACACACAGTACAGTAGGCGTGGCGTGGTTGGTAGGTCGGGTAGGTCGTGGCCGTGCATGTTTTTCGTAATTCAATCAATCATTGTTTCCACTTGTGGGATTTTTATCCCAAATATGGGATAATTTGGCTGCTTGTGGGATTGTGGGATAATGTGGGATTTTTCCTGAATTTGACGTCTTTTTAGCGAATTTCCCTATAGGGAAGTAGCTATAACCGTAGGTGGCATGGTAAGACCTAGGCCCGGGACCGATTTACTTTTTCATTTTGATGCCCCCAGAGGCCAAAAAAACCTTTCGTTCAAATTTGTATATATGTATATATATATTATTATATCGATTTATTTAAATATATATATATATATATATATATATATATACTAGCTGTACCCGCGGGCTTTGCCCCGTTTTACTTCATAAGTGAGCTCGTTCACATGGCTCAATCACGTCCTGGTTGAAGTTCGTTCGCTACGCTCACTCACCTTTTGGT